AGGGCTAGACCAGGGCTGTGGCTCTCCACAGACACTCAGGGTGGGCCCTGCCTGCTGTTGGAGAGGAGCCCAGGAGGGGAGCACAGCAGCAAACCACGGTGAGGCACCCCAGGGTGCAGAGCAGGTGATGACACAGCTCTTCACGGCTCTGGATTGCATCCCGGACTGTCACAGATACCCTTGGCCTGGGGCACGTCCGTGAGCTCTGCTCTCTAGTGCTCAGAATTCTGACAAGCAACATCCGAGAAGAGCAGCCAGTTACTGCTAATCCCTAACTGCTACATGAGCCTGCCCTGGCTGCCTGCATCCGCGGCCACTGATCCATGAGCCTGGGGCTCACAGGGCCAACCCAGCCGCAGGGAAAGCCTCGAGGAATGCTGCACAGCACCAGGAGGTAAAACTGTGCCGCCCGTGGCACTGATGCTGGGGGCACAGTGCCGGCTTTCAGTCCTGATGCCCGTGGGACCATTAACTTACTTCCAATTAGGGTAAAATCGGTTAGGAAATACACGGTGGGGTTTAATTACGCTAATTAATTACTTCTCCATGTGTTCCCTCTCCTTGCTGCTAGCACAGTGCAATGCCCCAGTGTTGGCAGCCCCGTAGCTGGGCTGAGTTGGAGGGCGGAGGGCTGAGAACTGTGCCTGTGAGAGGAGGACTGGGGTACGTGTGTCGAGCAGAGCGCAGGGGGAACTGTGCCTAAGAGAGATTCCAGGATTATTTCAGACCGCACGTCGCTTGTAGTCATCCACAACTGACGCACAGAAGCAGCTGCTGAGCTGGTTTGTCTGGGTTAGGAATAGGATTTTTTGGGGGAGGGTCTTGACTATTGTTTTCCCCTCTTCCATCTCTCCTCCCCTCTCCTTCCTCCCCAACACCCAAACACCCCCCGCCCAACTCGCTGAACCCTTCTGAGGCCGCCCTCCCACTCAGACACGTGCTGGATTTTATGAGTCTCTCTTCCCTTTAACTTTGCCCTTTTCCTCTCCGCCTTTGTTTCTTGAGAAAGGTCATTGTGCCTCCGACGCTGGGGTCAGCCCTGATCCTAAATCCAGCTGGCAGCATCTCACTGCAGCCTGTGCCACCATATATGGTCAGTACTGGGGAGAGAACCAGTAGAACAGGGCTGGAGGTGGCTTGGACGGCAGCCATCAGGAGGGCTTGGACTCAGCTGCATGCTGAAACCCCTCTGTGCTGTGGCCAGCCGGAGCTGCTCTTTGGAGCTCAGCAACTTTGGTATGGAACGGTACGAAGTGCAGCAGGGGAAGCAAGCACCCCTCTCCCTGTGGAGAAGGATGGGGCCAAAGAGCCCAAGAGATACCAGAGCCCCAGACAAATATAACTCGGAAAAACCTCAAACCTCCATGTCCTTCAACACCCCTCCTCCTCCTCCCGCAGAGAGTCCCTGGCAAACCCATGCAGGCAGAGCTGTTCCCACCTCTTCTCCCTCCCCCACCCCAGGGCATGTTTCAAACTGAGCCTGGCTAGTTCTCCTTACATAGAGGTTTCCAAGTGACTGCAAAGAGTTGAGCAAAATTTAAGGTAAGGTGCCAAGTGGCCCCATAAAATGATTCAGGGGCTCCACTCCCCCCCACCCCGCTGCACGTCAGGAGAATCTGGCATGTGTCTGTCACAAGGTAACGCTTTTCCATGTCTGAGACAGCGGCAGAGGGCCACACACTTCGTTCTAGGTCGGCTCTGACTGGTACCCGCCTGCTCGGTCACCAGGCCAGGCCCTCCCAGCGATGCGGCACCTTTGGCGCTCTGTAACACCGAGGGCCCCAGATGAGTCACTACGCCATGGTGGTTAGCTCCCAGCTGCACCACGGGAATGGTTGAAGGGGAAAGCCTGGCCATAAATGAAGGGGAACAACAAATTGAAGGTTTGAGGGCAGCGGCTCTGAGCAGCCAAAACAAAAGACGTTTTCTTTGGAATTCAGGGCTTTTCCTGGCAGAAATTCACAGTTTTCTCGCCAATGGGACACTTGGCAGGTCAACCCCCCTTCTCGCCCCCCCTTGCTACCGGGCCTCTACCCATGCAGTAGGATGAGCTCATTCCACTAAACTGGCTAGGAGGTGGGTAGAGTCTGTGTGCCCCAGGGCAATGACCAGATGGGATTGATGTCTTGCTAGGGCACTGACAATGCAGTTTCTGGGAGCAAAAGCCTCCATCTCGGGTATCACCATGCAGAAGAGGATTCCTGTGAGAGATTCTCCAGTTCCAGGGCCCGATAGCCCCACAGCAGCACCTACCAAGTGGTCACTGCTATGGAAAAGAATCAGACCGGTGACTTCTGGGAAGCAGAGCCTAATGCTGCAAATAAGGCACAGGCCTGACCTCCCAGCTCCGCCACAGACTTCTCGTGTGGCCCTTGGCAAAGTCACTGCCCTGCCTTCACCTCCCCAGCTGTGTGAGGTGGCGAATGATCCCACGCTTCCTCACGGGAGAGGGGGGAATGTAAAGCCGTTCACGGGTCTCTAAATCAGATACAGGGGGCCAATTCTGCCATCACGCCAAGAGAACCAAACCGCATCTGATGAGAGCAGCAGCTAGTTCCACCTTCAGGGGAGAGAGAGTGCACAAGCTGCTCTTCAGAAAAGCTAAAGCGTGCCATCTGCTGGACACAAGCCACAAGCCAGCCCTTGTTTTGTCCCGAAGCTCCCACAGCTCAAGAGCTTACAACGCTCACCTTCCCGTGAATGGGCTGGGAGAGACCAGAGCGTGGGTCTGCCCTACTAGTTATGTCTCCATGGCAAACAGGCAACTTCCTGCTTCTGCAGCCAGGAAAGCAGTGCTTAGTATTGAGGAGTAGAACCGGAAGGGTTTTCGGTGACATTAGTCAAGTTTTCATTCAATGCTGCTGCAAAGATCAGGGGCAATTAGTGCCTGTGGGGGAAGGGGGTATGAGGGCCACTCTGATGGGTAGGAGGCATATGGGGGCACCCCATTTAGCAATTAAAATGTTGGTGGGGGCATAGCGGGCAGTGCACCTACAATGTGCTACCTCTGGCATAGATCATTTTCCCGGCTCGCTGTGCTGTCTTGTACCTCTGTTCAGCCTCCCCTCATTTACCTTTCTTTCACTGCATTAAGTGCAAACTACCTGTCTTTACTTTCAAGGCCCTATCTGACCTATCCCATGCCTGAATTGTCATCCATAGAACAGTCATGTAATTAATACCCCCTCACCCCATGTGCACTATCGACCCATGAAAATGGCACTTTGGGCTTTCCATCAAAGCTTGTTGATCAGGCAGAGGGCTTTGCAGTGCACTCAAAGGCTTTCTTTGTGCTGTTCTTCACAGGTCAGATCTAGAGAGGAGAGGAAGAAGGCCAGAGCACCCCAAATGCTGTGCCCACAGCCCCTCCCTTTTACTGCACTGTGAACTCCAAGTGCTCAAAAGTCATGAGTCAAGGGCCAGAGCCAAATAATCATGAGATTGGCTGAAACATCATGAGATTTAAAGCAAACACTCGGTGTGTGTGAAGGGCGGACATATTTATTTATTTTCTGATTTCTAAGCCTGCAGGCCAGGCTCAGGTTATGTTGTCTGTGAAGTGGTGAGGGCTAGAAGCTTCTTTATTTTCAAGGACAGAGATGGCTATGTACACAATGTTTTACTGACCCTGCAACTATCAGCACGTGCACAAAGAAATTAGAAGAGCAGGCAACGCTGCTTGTAGGTAGGGGGTTCCAGCTTGGAGTAAGGGGCTGGGCTAGGCCTGTGCTGTCAACAGTGGTGACAATGGCAGCTGTCTCTCTCACACACACACACACACACAGTGCACAAAGATCACAGGCATATGTGCACCCACGCATAAGGTGCACAGGGCACTCACATAGACTGAATGTAACCCACACACCTCGTGAAGTTCACTGTCCCATGTAGTGGCATTTAGACCACTTACAGCTAGATATAAGAACAAGGGAGCTCTACAGCCACAGCTAAGTGGTAGATGGCTTTATAGCTCAAGCTGTAGAGAGTCCTATACTAAACTCCAAAGAGCTCAGGTTCAAATCTGGCCCGTGGTGGTTATCAGTGGGCACTTGTCAGCGATTTCAACTGGGTCTCAAGCTCAGAATGCACTTCCTCAACTAGGGAGGAAGTATGTAACCCACCCATCTCATGTGGTTCACTGTCTTATGTAGTGGCACTTAGACCACTTACAGCCAGAGATCAGAACAAGGGAGCTCTACAGCCTAAGCTGAGTGGCAGCTGGCTTCGTAGCTCAAGCTGTGAGACACTTATAGTGACCTCCAGAGGTCCCAGATTTAAATCTGCTCGGTGGCACTTAGTGGCACTTACATACGTGCACACACGGCTGGTATTCAACCCATGCAAAGGACACACACAGAGGCATGTGCACATGTAACCCCCACACCTACTGGGGGGGGGGGGTTCGCTGTCCGACCGCTTACAGAGAGAATTATGCGATCGTGTTCTACAGCCGAATCTGAGGCCAACTGGGTTTTAGCTCAAGCTGTGGACAGAGGCTCTTGCACTAAGCTGCAGAGAGGACCCCGGTTCGGTTCTGCCTCTTGGCGTTACACGTGCATGTGCGCGCGCACACAGGACATATAGGACACGTGTCTACATGCAAAGGATGCACACCCACGGGGGGCACATGCACACACACACTGCAGGGACACACGCACACGGAACTCTGCTGTCAGTGTCCAACGGGGGGGGGGCTTCGGGCCGGGGACAGAGGCGCACCGGAGGGAGGGTTTCCGGTCGGGCCGGGGACAGAGGCGCACCGGAGGGAGGGTTTCCGGTCGGGCCGGGGACAGAGGCGCACCGGAGGGAGGGTTTCCGGTCGGGCCGGGGACAGAGGCGCACCGGAGGGAGGGTTTCCGGTCGGGCCGGGGACAGAGGCGCACCGGAGGGAGGGTTTCCGGTCGGGCCGGGGACAGAGGCGCACCGGAGGGAGGGTTTCCGGTCGGGCCGGGGACAGAGGCGCACCGGAGGGAGGGTTTCCGGTCGGGCCGGGGACAGAGGCGCACCGCAGGGAGGGTTTCCGGTCGGGCCGGGGACAGAGGCGCACCGCAGGGAGGGTTCCGGCTGGCGCGCGGGGAAGATGGAGACGATCCTGGAGCAGCAGCGGCGCTACCATGAGGAGCGGGAGCGGCTCATGGACGTGATGGCCAAGGAGATGCTGATTAAGAAATCCACGGGGCGGGGGGGCGGGGCCCTGCTCTCCCGCCAGCGTGTCGGGCCGGCCTCAGCCCTCCCCTCCCGGAGGGGCCCCCAGCAGGGCTGGGTGCGGGGCAGTGACTGCCCTGGGGCGAGCCGGGCCAAGCTACGGGCAGCCCCCGCCGGGCACCAGACAGCCCCCCACAGCGCAGCTTCCTGGCCCATGGGCCCCTGGCTCCCTGACGTGGGCCCCCGTTCACCCGTCTCTGTCCCAGGGGTGGCCCCCCCATAATTCCCCCACCTCAGTGAAGCCGCCTCCCGTCAGAGCGCGGCGCAAGTGCAGTGCGATGCCAGTGACCCACCAGCAGCCTTTGTCCCAGTGAGCGACTCCTCGCATACCCCTAGCTGACTGGGGCAGATGAAGACTGTTCTTTGCTGAACTTTCCCAGATTTGGAGTTGGGGAAAGCGTGGCTAATCTTTTTTTCTGATCTGTCTTATAGTTACGGGACCAGATTAACTCTGATCATAGCACCCGAGCGATGCAGGACGTGAGGATCGCTTGTTCCCTAAAGATTATGGGCTGGAGCACAGGCTGTTTCGGTGTAGTGCGTTACTTAAGCGATACATCGCAAACTGTATTTCTGGATGTGTGTAGCACAGGGGTTCTCAAACTTCATTGCTCTGCAACCTCTTTCTGACAGCAGAAGATACTATACCACCCTAGGAGAGAGACCAAAACCTGAGCCTGTCCAAGCCACACCATCCCAGGTGGGAGTGGGGCCAAAACCCCACCACCATGATGTTGAGGCTAAGCCCAAAGCCAAGAGCTTTTGCCCCAGACATGGGGCCTATAACTTAAGCCCTGTCACCCAGAGCTGAAATTCTTGGTCTTTGGCTTTAGCCTCGGGCAGTGGGGTTTGGGCTTTGGCCCTGGGCCCCAGTGAGTCTAAGCCAGTCCTTGCAATCCCATTAAAATAGGGTTGGAACTCTCTTTGGGGTCCTGGCCCACAGTTTGAGCATTGCTGGTATAACACATTAAGATTGCAGGGTGCAAGGTAAAAAAAAAAATGGTTTTGTGTTCAGCATAGTAACTGGTAGACGTATGCAAGCTGATAACAGTATTTACTGGAGTTTTGCTTACCATAAAGTTCAGGAGCTGAGTTTGCCTAGATTTGGTTCTATCTGCAAATCTTTGAAGTGTTTTCATATTTATACCAATATTTATTCTGTAGAAATACTTGGTACTGAAGTTATAGGACCTACTTTGCACAATGCTTGATGCATCTGCATTACCTTTTACCAGAACCTGGGCACATGGAACATGAGTTAGGGTGCAGGATGGATTTAGTTATCAGTTTTAGTATTAAAAACATTTAGGTATATTTTAAATCAGCTGTATTATTTTCATTGCAGCTAACTGATTAAATAGCAAAACTCCACAGAAGAGCATGAAATGACTTGGGTAGCGAGATATTGTATTTCCCTGAAAACACTTTCAGCTTCTAAATTTCCCTATAATGTTTCATTACCTTTCACTGAGCATCCTTTCATTACTTTGTCTGTTTAGCTCAAGTTTGTGGGATTGCTATTTCAAATGTAAGCAAGCTTTGGCAAGCTTCCAAGAAAGCAGCTTAAAACTGTAACATGTTTTTGTTTTTTAGAGATATATGGAAGTGAGTGGCAATCTGAGAGACTTGTATGATGATAAGGATGGGTAAGTGTCTGCAAAAAAGATGTGAACTGGCTTTTTTAAAAGCTGAAAGATCTGCTAGCTAAACACCTTCACACAGAGTATGTCTGCAAGCACTTTAACAGCCCCTTAGCCCAAGCCCTGCATACCCAAGTCAGTTGACACAGGCCAATTGCTGGTTTTTAATTTCAGTGTAGATGTCCCCTTAGTGCTTTCAGAGCTACAGGAGAGTCTTACTGGCACTTCTTTAGGTCACATATAAAGAGAGCGATGCATTTAGAGCTATGATGATAGAAATGTAGCCCTGTTAGTCTGGTGCAGCTGAAACAAAAAACAGGACTATGTGGGCCAGACCCGCTTCCTCAGATCAAATAGTGGAAAAAAATTTAGGAAAATTTTCTTCCACTATTTGATCTGAGGAAGTGGGTCTGGCCCATGAAAGCTCATCACCTAATAAACCATCTTGTTAGTCTTTAAAGTGCTACATAGTCCTGTTTTTTGTTTCATTTAGAGCTATGGCACTTGTAAAAAAAATCCCCTCCGCCGCCACCTTTCTCCAAAGCAAAGTTAAGTTTTCTTGCAGGAGTTTTATTGCACTTGCCAGATTTTAACATGAGAGTAAAAGTCTAATGCTGGAAACAAATCCCTGACCAGACATTTTTAGTAGGCGTCTTGACATAACTTAATCAGTACCGGAGAGCAACATGTCGTTGCAAAGCTGTCACTGACACAAGATTTGCCAGCAAAGTACTGTTTGATCCAAAGTGTGTGGGAGTAGGAAGGGGAGGGAAAGAATAAATCTGCCATAAATCTAGCCCTTCTAAAATATCATGTTGGAGAAAAAATCTCCACTGAAATGGTCCATCAAATAAGATGCAGTTAGGGCTGAATTATCTGCACTCCCATTTGTAGATGTAATGAACTTTAAGAGGGGGGGACCAACAAAAACAACTGAATGTGCCAATTGCAGTGTTTCCCTTCTAGTTCATACTAAGACCTATACACGGTTAAAGATTCCCGCAAATCCCATTTAACTTGCTGCGTGTTGCTTCTTCAGTAGAATAAGGGACAAGAAGGGGTGTTGCTGATTCTGCACACTTCAGCAGTAAATTCCTCCATTGCTGTATATACACTAGCACTTTTGTGGGTCAGAGGTGAGGGAAAAAACCAAAATAATATTCACGGATAGAAATGCTAATGTGGACAGCACCACCGCTCGTTGGTTCGTTATGCTGATGGGAGCGTTCTCTCTGTTGACATAGGAGACCTTGCGGCTACCCCGCTGTAAGATCTGTATTGTGAACGTAGCCCATGTAACAGTTGAAAATGTGCATGTGAGGCAATAGAAAATACACCAGCGGAATCATATTTCAGTGCTTGATACCATCAAAGCAACTTTCCAGATTTGCTGTTGAATTTGATCCTGTGTAGATTGTAGTGGGAGGGAGGTGGGGTTATTGTCTCATTTGGCTTGAGTCCGTCACTTGAGTGGGTGATTCTCTTAAAGGGCAGTAATTGGAGACTCTGCACTTGAATGGAGGAAGGAGAGCAGAGCCTCCAAATCTTAAATCTAGCTGAGTTTGAGATATCTATGTAATTTTGATGGAGACTATGGTATTGCAGGATGGGAGATCGTTTAGGGAACCCTTGTGTTATCAGAAATCCAGGACTAGAGTGATTAGAATCAATTAATGAAACTCTCAGATTACATCAACTTCAATATATCTGTTTTCCATAAACAGTCCTAATCTTGCCCTCTCTTACCCTCAAAATCTGACTTGAACTGTCTCTCATGGACCCACAGATTACGGAAGGAGGAGCTCAGTGCCATTTCTGGGCCAAATGAGTTTGCAGAATTCTATAATCGACTGAAACAGATCAAGGAGTTTCACCGGAAGCACCCAAATGAGGTAAGAACCCCAGGATGCCATATGAGAGATGGTATGTGGAGCTACAGGACAGTGGCAAGCAGTGTATCCATACAGCACTCAGGGCTCTTGGCTGTTTTGCATTGTCAGTTCAGCTCTTCTCAACCTATTTCATTTACAACAAATTTGAGACTAAAAATGTGGCCAGTGGAAAGCGATGTTTTTAAAGTAGGGGCCATGTTCATATTCCTGTGATAGAAGAGGCATTCTGTGCAAGAGAGAAAGCAGTTCAAGAATGAGGTAATATTCAAAATGCTAAAATCTTATCCTATGATTGTTGTGTCTTCAGTTTAGGAGCATTGCCTTGCATGTGCTAGCCAGGGTGGTTTTTAGGAGTGTGTGGTAGCCTCCTCTCCTAAAAAAAAAAATCTATAAAATCATGATTGGTGTGGCAAAAGTGAATAAGGATAAGTTATTTATTTGTTCCCATAACACAAGAACTACAGGTCACCAAATGAAATTAATAGATAGCAGGTTTAAAACAAACAAAAAGAACTGTTCCTTCATGCAACACACAGTCACCCTGTGGAACTCCTTGCCAGAGGATGTTGTGAAGACTAGGATTTTAACAGGGTTCAAAAAAGAGCTAGATAAATTCATGGAGGTTAGGTCCATCAATGGCTATTATCCCTGGCCTCTGTTTGTCCGAAACTGGGAATGGGTGACAAGAGAGGGATCACATGATGATTCCCTATTCTGTTCATTTCCTCTGGGGCACCTGGCATTGGCCACTTTCGGGGGACAGGACACTGGGCTAGATGGACCTTTTGTCTGACCCAAACTGGCCGTTCTTATGTTCTCTATGGGAACAGTCATTTTTAGGAGTTGTCTGCATAATTTGTTCCTGCATCAATAAGAGGATAGTTATGGGAGAGAGAATCCTTGGAATTTAGAGACAGCAGAGTGTCAGCTGATGCAGGGGAATTCCAAGGCAGTTGCTTTATGGAGCTGGCTGCATATCTGTCCCTCCATCTTCTGCACTGACCCACAAAGATCCCAATATCTTATTTTTTCCACACTTTGTAGCCAGGGAATATACTCTTCTCCATCTAGTGTACTTTGCACATGTACCGATTAAATGCAGTTGAAGAGGAACACAATAATATCTCAGTACAGTTTAATTATCATGTGTAATGGCAGAAGCAAAAAAAACAGGACTTAGTTTGGAACACAATGATCTTTGATTTGGCAGTGGGAATACTTCCGCAATAAGTTCATTACGGACAGTGCAGCGCTGTCAATGGGACGTCACCTTAATAGGTCTGGACGTTATCATAGTAGTGAGTGTGTGTGTCTGTCTCTCTGTTTTTGTTATAACTTCTGATCTTTCCTGAAGATCTGTGTGCCAATGTCAGTGGAATTTGAGGAACTGTTGAAAGCCAGAGAGAACCCCAGTGAGGAGGCACAAAGTAAGTCAGTGGTTTCATATTTAAACTTAGATTTAACAAAAATGCCCGGCTTGTTTGTTATCATTGAGTTGTCTGGCTGGTGTTATGTCTCTGAACCTCTCCCCTTAATCCTCTGGAAGTTATGCTCAGATTCTGGCACGTACGTGTTTATTCTATACAGTCTGGAATGTTCTGCAGTAAAAGTCTCTCTCACTTGAGGGTGGATCTAGTACAGTAGTTCCCAAACTGTGGGTTGGGACCCCAAAGTGGGTTGCAACCCCATTTGAATGAGTTTGCCAGGGCTGGCTTAGACTTCTTAGGGCCCCAGGTTGAAGGAATAAATTGCCAAGGGAGGTGGTGGAATCTCCCTCTCTGGAGATATTTAAGAACAGGTTAGATAGACATCTGTCAGGGATGGTGTAGGTGGAGCTTGGTCCTGCCTTGAGGGCGGGGGGCTGGACTCGATGACCTCTTGAGGTCCCTTCCAGTCCTATTATTCTATGATTCTATGATTCTAAGGTCCACTCCCCCACCTGTGGTTGAAGTGTAAGACAGGGTTTTAGCCCTGGAAGTGGGGCTCACATAAGGTGGGGATGTAAAAATGTAACCAGTAAACAGTGTCCAATCAGTTCTGAAGCAATAGCCACTATAGTGGCTACTGCTATAGCAAACTAGCCATGTTATTCTGAAAATGTAAATGATTTTGTGAGCCAACTAGCCACACTCAACCAGCCAAATAGTGAAAAGTGGTTAGTGGGTTGGACACCCCAGAGTTAACTGATAAGCGTCAGCGTATCTGTTTCTGTTGCTGGTTAAACTCTTCTGCCCTGCAGGTGTGTGCCAGCTCCCTGGTGTAAAAATAAGGCTTATACGCCCGCTATGCTACCAGGCCCGCTCCCAGGGAACTGGCTGTGCTTCAGGCTCTGCCATAGAAGCCTTATTTTTAGAACCTGCCAAAACATGAAGAAACCTCTCATGAAAGCACAGCTATGCGAAGTATAGCATGAAAGTATTCAGCTGCATCTACAAGCTATGAGAGGGCTCTAACACAGGAATACATACAGTGAGAGCACTCTGCTGTCATTCTGATTTTTGGTTTCTGATGAAGCTCTTTGCATGACGTATCTTCCGTAGATCTAGTGGAGTTCACCGATGAAGAAGGGTATGGCCGGTACTTGGATCTTCACGATTGTTACCTCAAGTACATTAACTTAAAATCAACAGAGGTAAGAGGCTATAATTGCTTAGGAGACCTCCTCACATATCTGTTCTTGACTGTTCAGAGCTGAGCATTTCTGATGTCATTTTAAATAGTTTGTTTCCATTGATGTGTTACGCGGGTGCCTATTTTTGGGAGGCTATGAGTTAAGGATTTTTAAATTCTAAATGACCCTTTCCTGTGCTCTCTTATTTCTGCAGTTATAGTTACAGCTGCTCTCTCAGTCCTCTCCCCTTAATGTGGTCTTGAAAGATGCCATGTCCTTCCCTCCCCCCCCCCCTCTCTAAGGCCTTGAGTTAGTGGATTTAGTAAGGATCCTCTAAATCAGGGGTGGGGAACCTTAGGCTGCTTGCCTGGATCTGGCCCCTAAGGCTCAGTGCTTCCACTCCCCAGCATTCAGGAGTCCATGCTGGCACTTCAGTGTCCCCCCTCTTTTCCCTCCCCACACACTGCCCCACTGGCACACAATATCTCCTAGGTTTGGGCCCTTGTAGGTTCTGTTATGTGAAGGAAATGTGGGGAGTATCTTTCTCCTTCTCAGTTGGAGACCACAGTGAGGGGGCTTTTTTTGCTTTTCACTTGTGTGTGCCCCTCGAATGATTTTTATGTGGGTCACTGGCCCCCCGACCCTGCTCTAAATTGACTGCTGAATTCACTGCTGTGGATTCCGGTACTCCATCCTTAGGAGTAAGGGAAGTCAATGAGAGAGTTTCTCCTGTTGACCTTCCACAGTGGGGACGTCGCAGAAATTCAATCTAAAGTACGTTGACTCCAGCTACACTATTTGCATAGCTCAAATTTGCATCTTAGGTCGACTTTGTCCCCAAGTGTAGACCTGGCCTAAAATTGAAATTAACTAGCTATCACTCTTTCTAGAGCAAGAAGCCTGATCAGGCATTTCCTTATGTAACCTTACTCAGATATGTACTCCTGTTGGTTTCATGAAGGGTTTGCATAAACAGCTCATGATTCCCATTCCTCTTAAAATGAGCTATGTTTGAGGGGAAAAAATCACGCAGAAAAGAATCCCCTCAGAACTTCAACTGCCTAATATGCCTGTTTGAGGATGCATCCAAATTTTTCATGCCTTCCTGGAGCAGCCAAATATTTTGGCAAGAGCCTTTACTCTACTTGTCCTATCAGCTGTGCAGCCCTTACATATGCATTTTACTCACATGAGCATTTCCTTGATTTCACTCATGTAAATTCACAGCTCCGAGAGTAAGGATTGTACAATTAAGCCCCAATTGAGGTACATTCCTTTATATGTTACTGTACCTGAGGGATGAAAATTTGAGCTTTGGATTTTTTCTTGCGTGGGTTGTTTTTTGTTGTTGTTTTTGGATTGATGGTTGTACAGCAGCAGCTAAAGAAGCTCAACTGCAATGTAAGAAGTTGTTCAACAAGGTCAAATGTTTGGTATTCACTACATCTTTTCAGAAATGTGTCATGCAGCAATGAAGTTTATAGTGCTTTAAAGGGCCAAGTCTTAGAGTAAAGCAAAGTCTTTCTTTGTAAATGAAACCCGCACAGAAATAGCAAACTCTAGTAGCAAACTATATAAACTGAATAGCTATGGCTTTTACATCAAATCCAGCTTTGCTATTCACATCGCTGGAGTTGCAGACCTTAGTTTGACTACCCCCCTAGTGTAGACCTGGCGTCAGGAACCATGAAAGAAGAAAAAGTGGCATGTTGCAACCAGTGTGCCCTCTGATTTTCCATCCACGTGTGGAATACATTTTATGTGTGAGCATGCACCACTATTAGAAACACATGCTTTCAGCTCTGGGTGCTCTGCTAATCAGCTGGGCAGCACTTGAATCTCTTCTGGGTGGCTGCCCAAGCACTCAGCTTACAGGGAACAGTGGCTGCAACCCAGATATGGAAAGATGCCATTTCTTGTGGCTCACTCAGTGATTGGAGATGTGTTTGTTAATCAGGCTATTTTGTGTGTCAAATCTAACTCTCGGCCTCTTTATTTTCAGAAACTGGATTACATCACGTATTTATCCACATTTGACCAACTCTTCGATATTCCCAAAGAGAGAAAAAATGCTGAATATAAGAGGTGGGCCCTTCATCCATGACAGGCTGTCCAGTAGGAACTAATTTCCATGATGCACGTTCAAGCCCTGGATGAAATTGCCTTCATAAGCAGTTTGATTTACAGCTTTTCAAGCAAAGCTTATGCAAATTTGCAATTTTTACATTTTTAAACAAATTACTGATTCTGTGCTCTGTGTGCAGGTTTATTAATCCCTGTAGAAGGAGTGGCTCTGGGTTTCAGGGCTTTGTGTCTGTGTTTGACAGAACCTACAGCAGACTAGGAATATAGTTTCCCTGGTGTTACAGTAGACAGTGTATGAGTATTTCTCTCCTTGTTCCCTCCCTCCCCCCCATCTCTTTTATGCTTTTTTTTCTTTCCAAACCCACATGCTTTGTAGGCAAGTGTTTCTGCATAAATGTTGAGCTTTTTCAATTGCAGACAAATCCTATCTTCCTGACTTGCTGTTTGCAGGACGAACAGATGATGTGGTATTAAATTAAACCTACCTGTGTGATTGTGAGGTATTTGTCAACTTTGAATTTTGCCTCTCATCTAAAAAGCCCAACGGATGACATTTCATTCGGGTTGGGGCTTCTGGTGAAATAATCTCTTATCCAGAGGGTTGTTCTTAACAGCCAGGAGCTTGTTCAATAGGAAGGAGAGTTATTGGAAGGAAGAAGACAGTGGGTATGTTTCTTATATGATTGTGAGGCAAGAGGTATCCCCATGATGAGACTGAGTATGTCTGATGCAGAAACATGTAATATGTTCATCTTACACAATGTCTGGTACCAGATGACCTGAGCTGGCTCTTCCTCTACCAGGTATCTCGAAATGCTGCTTGAGTACCTGCAGGATTACACAGATCGGGTGAAGCCGCTGCTGGACCAGAACGAGCTCTTTGGGAAGATTCAGATTGAATTTGAGAAGAAGTGGGACAATGGAACGTTTCCTGGATGGCCGGTGAGCAAACATTATGCTCGCGTGAAATGCAGATCTAGTTATGAATGCTTGGTACAGTGGGGTGGGGTGTAAAATGGTCATTAAGGCAAAATCTCACAGTGCCATGTCGATTTGTTGCGTCTCAAAGCCATAGAGCAGGCCTGGGGAACCGTTTCTCAAGTTGAGGTTAGGGATGTAAATGACTAGTTCACTATCTGATAAGCAAAAGCTTATCGGATAGTCAAGTACTGACTAATCGCTCCCCCCCTCCCCTCCTTGCTGCCTCTATCAGAGCGAGGCAGTAAGGGGAGGGGGAGCAGGAGCCGGTGCTGGCGGGAGCTGGCTTAAACGCCAGTTCCCCTCAGCACTGTCTCCACAGGGACAGGGGAGGCAGAGATACAGCGGGAAAACAGCGTGAGTAGGGACTCAAGCAATCCCTGCTCACCACATGTTCTCACTGCGGTGCTTCAGCCTTTGAAATGGGGCTCTTGCTACATTTCAAAAGCAGACGTGCTGCAGTGGGAACAAGGGATGTTAGAGAGTAGTCGACTACTCACTTCCCTCCCCTCCCCCTTTCTGCTTCTATCAGGCCGCGGGGGGAGGGGATGGGGCAGCTGCTGCAAAGCAGCCCCTGTTCGCAGTGGCGAGAGCTGGCCACAGGCTGTTTGTGGCAGGCTGGGGCTGCTGGACTCAGTGCGAGCTGAGACCTAGCAGTCCCGGCTTGTGCTGGTCTGGGACGCGGCACCTCTGCATTTTAAATGTACTAGGAGCCCGGCAGCTCTTGCTACATTTAAAATGCAGAGCTGCAGCGCGGGTGGCTCCCGGAGCCTGCTCAGTCCCAGCTCGAGCCGGCTCCTGGTGCTACCCCCGCTGCGGCTCTGCAGAGCGGTCCTGGTGACTAATCATACGGTCAGTTGGCCACACGACAGTGAGATGCAAAAAACAAAACAAAACCCCCTCACTGGCCTGGCCACCCAGTGAGAAGGAGAAAAAAAGAATCTTACACACGTGGGCCCCAACTGGGAAGCAGGAAAAAGAGACATTCCCCTCACTCCAGCCCCATGGGGGCTCAGAGCTTACCCCTAGGGCCAGATGAACTCTTCTGGTGGACTGGGGCTAGTAGATGTTGGTGCCCCCTGCGTTCTGAGGTGGGGACAAAACGAGAGGTTCATTGTACAGGAGGGGCTGCTGGAGAGCAGCCTGGGTGTGTGGGGTCTGGGCAGGAAGTAGGGTGCAGGAGTGGGTGGGGGTGAAGGGTCTGGGCAGGAGGCAGGGGGCAGGAGTTGTCTGGTTTGGTGCTTGTGGGATCTGGTTGGGAGAGAAGGTGCAGGGCAGGCTGCAGATGTGGGATCTGGGTGGGAGGTAGGTGCAGGAATGTGGGGAGAGTGGCAGGTGGCTGTGGGGAGTGGGTGGGAGGCAGGTTTAGAAGAGGGACGGGGATGGGGGGGACTGGGTGAGAGGTGAGTTTAGAAGTTGCTGGGGTGGGGAATCTGGGTGGGGAGGTGGCGTGCAGGAGCAGGTTGCATGTGGGGGTACAGGAGGGTGGGGGTCAGGGCCTGGGAGGATTAGGAGGTGTAGAAGTGGGGTGGGGGAGCAGGGTCTAGGCAGGAGGTAGGACACAGAAGTGGGATAGGATGCAGGGGATGGGGGGGAGGTAGGACACAGAAGCGGGATAGGATGCAGGGTATGGGCGGGGGGTAGGATACAGAAGTGGGATAGGATACAGGGTATGGGCGGGAGGTAGGATACAGAAGTGGGATAGGATACAGGGTATGGGCGGGAGGTAGGATACAGAAGTGGGATAGGATACAGGGTATGGGCGGGAGGTAGGATACAGAAGTGGGATAGGATACAGGGTATGGGCGGGAGGTAGGATACAGAAGTGGGATAGGATACAGGGTATGGGCGGGAGGTAGGATACAGAAGTGGGATAGGATACAGGGTATGGGCGGGAGGTAGGATACAGAAGTGGGATAGGATACAGGGTATGGGCGGGAGGTAGGATACAGAAGTGGGATAGGATACAGGGTATGGGCGGGAGGTAGGATACAGAAGTGGGATAGGATACAGGGTATGGGCGGGAGGTAGGATACAGAAGTGGGATAGGATACAGGGTATGGGCGGGAGGTAGGATACAGAAGTGGGATAGGATACAGGGTATGGGCGGGAGGTAGGATACAGAAGTGGGATAGGATACAGGGTATGGGCGGGAGGTAGGATACAGAAGTGGGATAGGATGCAGGGTATGGGTGGGAGGTAGGATACAGGAGCTGAGTGGGGGAGCAGGGTCTAGGCAGGAGGTTGGGGTGTCTATCGGCAAAGCTCCGAGGAAGGGGGGCACAGTTGGCTCTGCATGATCCTACACTTTCAGGCGCACACACGTACCCCTGCTGCTCCCATTGGCTGTAGCTCCTGGCCAGTTGGAGCGATGGGGGTGGTGCCTGCAAGCAAGCACAAGAAGAGAGCTTCCTTGCGCTGCTGTTCCCCCAGTTGCTTCCTCCCCCCTGCCAGGCAGAGCCTGCAAGCCAAATGCAGCCAGCAGCTTGCCTTGACCCAGCCTGCGAGGCTCGGGGCTCCCCCACATAGGTGGGGGGGACCGGGCCGTTCCCCCCGGGAGCACCAAGCTTCACAGGCCGAACCAAGGCAAGCCACGGGCTATAGGTTCCCCATCCCTGCAGTTGAGGCACAGCTTACTGCTCGTGTTTCCTGTCCTTTCCACTTACCTGGAGGTTTCCTGTGCGTTTGGTTCAGTTGGATGCTGAGTTCTCTGTTGTTCTTGGGAGGATATTTTGGTATTGCTGCTCAACCGTTCTGTAGCACCAAGCTTCACAGGCCGAACCAAGGCAAGCCACGGGCTATAGGTTCCCCATCCCTGCAGTTGAGGCACAGCTTACTGCTCGTGTTTCCTGTCCTTTCCACTTACCTGGAGGTTTCCTGTGCGTTTGGTTCAGTTGGATGCTGAGTTCTCTGTTGTTCTTGGGAGGATATTTTGGTATTGCTGCTCAACCGTTCTGTAATGTCCTGAAGATCGAGCTAGCAACTGACGTGGTTTTTCTTGGCAGAAAGAGACCAGCAGTGCACTTACCCATGCCGGAGCCCATCTGGATCTCTCTGCCTTTTCCTCTTGGGAGGTGCGTTCTCTCTGCGTTAAGCTCTTTGTACTGAAAATCCTGGTGGGATCCATCCACCTGCTTCCTTTTCACAATTCTCTTTGTGGGAATGTGAGACTCTGGCCACAACCACTGTGAATGGAGAGTTCCCCGTGCAGATGGTCTCTGCTTTCTGTCACTGGAAACACCAGTAGCTTGGAAGCATTTTTCTCCATTGTAGGTGTGATCAAGCTTCTGCCTTAGATGCCACTGATCTGGGCAGAGGCGAACCGCCTGAGTGCTTTCCGGAGCCATGCGGGATTTTTTTAATGAATTAAAATGGGCACACGTGGATGATATTGTACACACCTGCAAGCCATGTTCATGTACATTGGTTTCTTTTCATTGCACAGGAATTGGCCTCTCTGGGACTGGACAGATTAAAATCTGCTTTACTGGCTTTGGGTCTGAAATGCGGCGGGTAAGAAGTGGCGGCTTTTTTTTAAATTCTTTTCAGTTATCTGAATGGACGTGAATGCACAGTTCTCTGCTGACGTAGAAATCCATTGCACACGTACAACATGGGAAATGACTGCCTAGGAATGTGTAGTCTGGAAAGGGATCTAAAGGGGTCATAGTGGGCCACAAGCTAAAGATGAATCAACAGTGTGACATTGTTGCAAAAATAGTGCATTCTAGGATACGCACATTGTAAGTAAGACACGAGAAGGAATTCTTCTGCTCTACTCCACACTGATTAGGCCTCAGCTGGAGTATGGTGTCCAGTTCTGGGCACCACGTTTCAGGAAAGATGTGGAGAAATTAGAGACGGTCCAGAGAAGAGCAACAAGAATGATGAAAGGTCTAGAAAACATGATCTGTGAGGGAAGGCTGAAAGAACTGGGTTTGTTTATTTTGGAAAAGAGAAGACTGAGAGGGGCCATGATAGCAGTTGTTATAAGGCGGAGGGAGAAATATTGTTCTAGTTCACCTCTGAGGATCGGACAAGAAGCAATGAGTTGAAATTTCTCCAAGGGAGGTTTAGGTTGGGCATTTGGAAAAAACTTCCTAATTGTCAAGGTGGTTAGACACTGGAATAAATTGTATAGGGAGGCTGTGGAATCTCCATCATTGGAGATATTTAAGAGCAGGTTAGAGGTAAACCTCTGTCACGGTTGGTCTAGCCCAGGGCTGGGCCACAGTTTTTGATGGGGAGCCACTCCAAGAATTTGGTACATGATCAAGGGCTGCACTCTTCCACGATATTAATGGAGGAGGTGCGGGGTCTGGGATGGACGTTGGGTGCAGAAGGGAGATTGGGGTGCAAGAGGGAGCGTGGGATCCGGAAGAGAGTTTGGGTGAAGGAGAGGATTGTGACCTGGAATTGAGGTGTAGGAGGGGGTGCAGGGTCTGGGAGGGGGTTGTGACTAGGGCAAGAGAGGGGATTATGACCTGGGGTGGGGATTGAGGTCTAGTATGGGTACAGGAGTGAGTGCAGAGAGTTTGGGTTATGTGGGGCAGGGGTACAAGATAGGGGACAGAGGGTTGGGGGAAGAGAGGGGTTGGAGTTCCAGAGGCAGGCTCTGGCTGGGAGGCGCTTACTTATGTGGCTCCCAGCCAACAGCCCAGCAGGTCCCTCAGTCAGGCTCCCTGCCTTCCACAGCCCTGACACCACTCAGAGCAGTGGGCTGGGGGGGTCACATGCTCAGCACGGTCGGTCAGGGGAGGCTTCTCACGCTGCCCCAGCACAATCTCTCGGCTCCCATTGGCTGGGGAGTGGCAGCAGCACAGGAAGCCTCTCCCACTTTTCCCACCTACAGAGGCACTCAGAGAAGCACATGGCCCCCGAAGCCAGGCTGCTCTGAGCGGCATGCAGGGGCGGGGCAGGCAGGGAGCCTGCCTGAGGCTCCTGCAGGCAGAATCCAGTGGTTTGGGTGGTCGGTTCTGGCCCACGGACTGTATTTTGCCTCCCCCAGTCTAGATGGTGCCTGGTCCTGCCATGAGTGTAGGGGACTGGACTCAGTGACCTCTTGCGGTTCCTTCCAGTTCTACGATTCTATAATGTGGAATGGCAGGACCTCAAGAGCCTGTAGGAATCCTGATACAAAAGCAGGGCCTAAGCCATGGACCTCGAGGGTCACTTTGAAATCTCATGACCTCTGAATGATTTAATCTGCAATGGAATTATGTTTTTAATTACACGAGCACAAATCAATCGACAAAAAAATAAACCTGCCCTCGAGATTC